AATTAATAATATTATTTATTATGGCCAATGTGAGAACATCAGTCAGCCCCTTAAATTATTTAAATGAAACTATTCCACTTGATTTGGTGCTAATGCTCAAATGGTTTTAAGAAGTAATAATAGCTATTGGGGGGATTTTAAATGCAGAGTTAGAAAATCTCTGCTGGTACCCTGCTTTCTATTAAACAGAGTTATAGAAGCCTGCTGTCCCCATTATAACCGTAACTCACCATGAGGCACAGAGCCAGTAATATCAGCTCTGCTCCCTGTGGAAATCTGTAGAAGGAAAAAAAAATTCAAATATCTTTTATATGACTTTGGTTGATAGATATATACAGATCTTTCTGGACTTAGATAGATGGGTAGGTAGGTAGATGATAGATAGATAGATAGGTAGATAATAGATAGATCTATAAATAATACATTTTAGTCCTTAGTTGTACATTTGACAGTCCCTGGTAAAGTATGCCTCTTACCTGTAAACTTTCCAAATCTTCTCACAGCATCTCACAAAGAACAATAATTGTTTATTGATCTAAGTGTTAACGACGTATCGATGAGGTCTAGAAACAAGACTCAAGGGCAGTAACTGCTCAGGACAGTGATCTTAAGGTACTTTTCCATCGTCCATAATATACAGTTTAAATATATACATATACTTGAAAAATCTCTATTTTGTTAGTAAACAACTGTTTAAAAACACGGTGAAACTTAGCAGGACTGTTCATAAGCAAGTTCCCTAACCTCTGCATGATATTTTGTTAAACAGAAGAAATATGTCTCTTTGAGAATTCTTTAGACAACAGATATGAAACCATCATGAAAATGCAATGTGCACTTATTATTTGTTATCATAAAAAAGTACACAGTAGCACCTGGAACCATTTTCTATCTATAGTAGGTATTCAATAAATGTAAATTAACATCAAATATCCCTCTAAGTATGTTGATTTTTTGGTTTGCTATATACGTAGCAATATACAGAGATCCATATTGTAGTAAATATGGCCTTCCCAACACGCTTTCTTGTACCCTAATTCTGGTAGCAGCAGACCAGTCTTCCTTTGCTGAGTTGCCCTTCCTCCATCCAATATGGTATGGCAACCAGTCATAGGTTTGGTCCACAGCCTGTCAGCAGAGATGAGCACATACACATCCAGGCTCCCAATTCCCTATTCACAGTGACTGAGCCATGAGGTGGTCATGGAATCCTTTTAGGGCCAATTCCAGTACTTCCCCGGGAGACGTTCTATGAATGCTGGGAGAAAGGCGACTCTTTTCTGTGTGGACTGGATCTGCCAGCAGCCACCTTTCCCATCATATGCAGAGAGCTAACCGTTGGCAGGAAAGAAGAAAGGCAACACACAGAAAGATGGAGAGGCAAGCAAGAAGAGAAAAAAAGAGGGAAGGGTCAAGGAGAGAGAAAGAACAAGAGAGAATTAGCAAACTGCTGGAGTTCCAGAAGCCAGTCATCCTTGAAGACTTCCTGGCTTAAGCCAGATTGAGATCAGTTTCCTTCACTTATAAGTGAAGAAGTTTTGAGTAATACACACATACAATAATCTATATCACAGATCTGTAGACAAATCTGTCTGGATAAATGTATTAGAACCACAGTTTTAATCTTTTCAAGACAGAATCTCCATAGACCATTCCTTTGAGATTCCTTTTTCCCATTTCTTCCTTGACCCAAAGATGATCTCTAGGTGGATTGCTGTCTCACTGGGCTCCAACTGATAAAATAAAAAGTAGACCCAGAAATATTCTGAAACAAAGCACAATGTACTAACTTCTCAGAGGGTGGTTCCGCCGGCTCTACAACTGTTCCACGAGGCCCAAGCTAGAGGAACGCACGTGTTATCTCCTTAGAAATAAGGTAGAAAAGAAAAAGAAAAGAAGACAAAAGAAAAGGAGGGCATTGAGAAAGAGACAATTGTCAGCCAAGGAGACAGGTCACAGACGATATCCCGAAATATTTTTTTTTCTTCCTTTAATCACTTCTTGATAGGTCAGAGGACGGATGGGACCAAAGTAATGAACCAAAGACCAACACAAAGGAAGACGTGAGGCTAACAGAATAATTAAGTTCTAAAAGTCCTAAGACATTTCCATGATTATATCAAGATTAAAGTCAAAGGCCTGTGAAACACCCTTTAGATCTTCGTCATAATCCCACGCGGGGCCTGGCAAACCTTCAGAAGCCAAAGCGACAATGACTGATTTACCTTTCTATGCTGAAAATGGAAACTGAAAGTTAAGTGGCAACATAAAGCTGAGCACCTCTGAGACTGAGCTTCAAGTCTGGACGAGACAGAAATGACAGAAAATCATTAAGAACAGAAGGCATTAAAAGGTCAGAAATAAATTGTTATCAAGCCCTGTTTGACCATTTTATCAGTAAGAATTTTCTCTTTGCTCTCAAGAATGCAGTCACACTTTCTTATCTCTGGAGATGAATATGATATTATCACGGTTGTAAAAAGACACTGATATTCAGATTCTAAGACAGTTTTGTGCAAAAAGGACTCTGCCACAAAATGAGACTCTCAAACAGTTTTTTAAAAATACCTAATTGTCTTGTTTCCATCTGTTGAAACGTGACTTAGTGTCCAGATGCTGTGAAGTTTAACCTTGGTGGAGGAGAAAGCCAGCAATGACTTCAAGTGTTTAGATTTCAGTGTGGTTCTTGGTAAGATGGACAGCTTAGCTCCAAATCGGTCCCAGAGTAAGCAAATCTCCCTCTCCCACCCTTCCCCACCCCCTCCTCCTCTCCCTTCCCCCTCTCTTTCCATATGTTGGCCAAGAATGATGATTTGCTGCCTCAGTTGCAAGAAATCAGGGAAAACTGATGCGAATCTCTCAGAAACAAAATTTGATCTTCAGCTAAATGAGCATGTTAGTGAATCAAAATTTGATAATCTGTGTTTAAATTGTGAAAGTGGAAAATGATGGGTTAAGGGATTGAGTATAGGAGAGGAAAGAGCCTTAATCATTTTAGCAATTAGTATGTAATGTCCTAAAATGATTCACTAATCACTCCGCAGCTGGTACACTGAAGAAACACAGGGTACCAGAGCATTCCTCAAATGTCATAGTCCAACAGAATCCACACTTCGAGAGGATGTAGAGAACACTGGGAAAAGGAGAAGCTGTAGACTGGCCCTCTGAAACATCCAGAAGCCCGGACTGAACCAACAGATAGCAACCTGTGGCTTAGTCATTTTGAACGACAGTATTTCATTTGAATGAAGTAACTTACAGTTTCACTATCTTCAAACAGGATAATATATTTGTCAAGAGGAGAGTTCGTACTAAATCTTCAAAGGCCTTTTCAAGGGTCTTTTTAGTTCACAATTGCAGAGGTCAGAGCAATGTTATTTTTCTGGATCTACTAAATCAAAATATGTGTATGCTGCTTAAATAAACAGTCCCATGTGCAGGTTTTCCATAATTGCAGGTCTTAATACTGAAGATATCATACCTACCAGCCATGAATAAAAGAATCAAACCAAAAAGGAAGGAAGGAAGGGAGGGAGGGGGAAAGAAAGAGAGAAAGAGAGAGAGACAGAAAAAGAGAAAGAAAGGAAGGAAGGAAAGTTGAAAGAAAGAAAAAGAAAGAAAGATCACATGAAAATACATTCAAGAATTACACTGGCTTTTTTCCTTACGTAACACAAAATATAACATGATCAAAAGACAAGAGCTTTTCAGGGGCTGGCCCCGTGGCCGAGTGGTTAAGTTCGCACGCTCCGCTGCAGGCGGCCCAGTGTTTCGTTGGTTCAAATCCTGGGCGCGGACATGGCACTGCTCATCAAACCATGCTGAGGCGGCGTCCCACATGCCACAACTAGAAGGACCCACAACGAAGAATATACAACTATGTACCGGGGGGCTTTGGGGAGAAAAAGGAAAAAATAAAATCTTTAAAAACAATAAAAAAAAAAAAGACAAGAGCTCTTCTTTCAGTAGAAGCTAGTAATTTGAACCTACCCACAGGCAGTTGCTGGCAGTGGTGACTTAAACAGTTACATACATTTAATTACCCCATGTTTTGCTCTTCAAATGCCCGCATGAGGATACTTTTTGCTTTGTTATACATAGGTGTGCTAACCTCACCATTAGCTTCAACACATTCCTAAACCTACCTGTCTCTCCTCCTTACCACAGTGTAGTCAAAAAGGAAAACGTGGGTGGGCAGTAGCTATTGGGCTCTGATGTTGCCTTCCTTTAAATTTAGTAAGAAGGTCTTGGGCCACTTCAGTCTGCTTCATTATTAGAACTGGTATCCATTTACCTATGATTTGTTCCCGACAGTGATCAAATTCAGAGGCACCACACTGGATGTATGGTAAGCTGACAACTGTCAAGGCTGCTCCTATGCCATCAGCGGCCCCTTTGACACTACCGACTGTGGACTGTAAAACCGATTCAAATTATCCAGAAACCCTAAGGTTGTAATGATGTTCATTTAAGGAGAATTTTTATTCAACAATTCAAAGTGCTGGCTAGGATTTTTGTGACCAAAGCTTCCTTACCAAATTATGAAGAGATGTATATATGTATAGTCAAATTCAGGCAGAAAACATGTAAGTAATTAATCCATGTGAAGAAATATAGAAGTATATTGATTAAATTGATTTTTTAACCCATTGCAGACTATCGTTTTTCTAAGTCGGGCTTATTTTTAAAAATTATTAACATGTGTGTTTATCCACACAGTTTGCCCTGCACAGCTAAGAGCAATTCATGGATGAACATATTTTTATAGTTCAATTAACTTGCAACTCATGCACAAGAGTTAATAGATTCCTATAAATCTTCAGCTAATTTATCCTTCCTGTCATCTGAATAAATAGTATGACTCATTTCTGGAGAAATGCAGTGCCTTCTGCTCTCTGTTTCCATGTCGCCTCAGGTTATACTGCAGTGCCTGTTTGCCCCTGTCACTGGAAGGAAAAGAGATATTTGCTTTTGTATAAAGAAGAACACAGGGTCTTTCTCTTTACGTTAGATTTATTTTCCTGCTAAATGGATTATTTCGGCCAGGGTAAGTCTAGTGAGAACCAGAATAGCACTCAGTTCATTGATCTTTAGTTAGTTTAAAGAAGGAGGGAACAGAAATTCAGAAATGAAGGAGGCAATTCTCCATCCCATGCATAGAGATTCCAAGAACTGGAGGTGAAGAGGACGCAGCTGCATTTCTTAACTTTTGAATGAAAAGCAATTATGCCAACAGCCTTCATTTTAGATTGCCAGCGTGGGCCTGTGTCATACCCATCCTGACACTCCCCAACTGAAGATTTTAAAGGCCTCCTGTCTTTGTCATTGAGACACCTGTCACCAAGTGCACTGAATCAGCATCTCTAGATGCTGGGAAATACATATTCAACATGAATCTATGTAAGAGGCAACAGTAGGGAGGCTGGAATTCTTCAGAATCCTGGAAGAAGAAAAATGAAAGAAAAATTTAAGCCTAAAAAAGAAGCTGAAGTTGTGAAGAAATTTTCCACCCCATAAAATATATTTCTGATTCCATTTTGACTTGTTTGTCATTGAAAGAAGTTAACCCTCACATCAAGATAACACAGTAAATTTCTACAAAAAATGTTTTAAGTGTATTAGCAGCAAATATTACTGGAAGAAAGTCTTAGGGAAAAATACAGTTTTCTACATGAGATCTGTAAAATGAAGAGCCATTTGGGCATATTATTACAAGGAAAAATATTTCTAAAGAATTTATTTTTAAGATCGCATAATAATAAAGATGAAATAATCAACCAGCCACATATTCTATTCTTTAAGAAGCATGGTAAAGAAAAAGAAACAGTGATGTTTCAGAGTGCTGGAAAAATTTGGGTACTCTCTACATGTTAAAACTCATTTTCAAATACATTCATTATTCATTTTTACCCTCTTCATCTTTGCCCTCCTGCTTAGGATCACATCTATGAGTCAATTGCAAAAGCAGCACTCATTTACCGCTTACTCAAGTATATCAAGATATTCAATTTATGATTTCTGAATTCAAAAGGGAGACATCCCCCAGAACTCCAAGTGACACTCAAAAGAACTCAAAATTTTATAGTTCATCAGCTTAGATATCTTTCTGAAGAAAGGCTTATGATTTCTTTATACTGTATTAGCTATTTGATGGTACTTTTACAAGAATGTATTCAACATTGAAAATTAATAATTTTATATAACCAATGGGGCAACAAAATCAAAATTATTATTTAATACTAACCCTTTCAAGAAGTGCTAAATCAAACCTCCTAAAACATATGATTTTATGAATTATTAAAATTAGAAATATAGTAGTACATGTATGCTCCAATTGTAGCCTATTTTATCTTGACAAATCACGACCAGCCAAAATATCAAAAAATAAATTTTCAGTTTAAAGAATATTAAAGCAGCCACCCAAAAGGTACATATTTCCAAATATATAAATATCAGTTCTAACAAATCTTGATATCAAATGATAACAAAATTACAGTATTAGATCAGAATTCCAGATAAACCAATGAATTAGAGAAGACATGGAATCCATTTATTTATGTAGCAAAATAAAGAGGGGAAAAATTAGATGTAAAAGAATTTTTGACAGCAAGTACTTGCCAATCTGTCTTCAGGTTAAAACTAATAATATTTTATCATGTTGAATTCAATTTTCATCCATTTCCTTCTGGATATAACAACAGTCTATTTATTAACTGACTAAAACACCTGTTGGCCCTCATTTGTTCTACTTTTTCAACAGAATCTATTTAGTTGAAGATATTAATTTGATTAATGTCCAGTCACCAACCTATGAGACCATAGACCTAATGCTCTCTGATATTAAACACTCAGCTTTGCATTTCTTTTTGACTAAGCCTTTGAAACCAGCGCTTTCCAGCAAGTAGTGGAATTAGCCAAATGGAGTATTATTTTTCTCTTCCCTGTCTTATCCTAGTAGATAAAAGTTGGCACACAATAGAACATCTGTGCATCCTTCTTCTCAAGGCAACACCAAGGACATTCCGACTGCTATCTTGACTTGTATTTAATGACCAGCTGAAATACTTACAAACAATATATGTACTTCAAACAATATACTGACTGAGAATTAACCATTAAAACTTTAGCTCTCCCTGAGTAGGTAGTTAATGAATTGGAAGTCAAGAAATTACCATGCTAGGTGATAAAAACAACATAAGGCTTTCCAAAGAATCCTATAAGGTAGGCATTATAAACTCATTATCTAGGTAACAAAATTAAAGATCAGAAAATCTTCAGCAAATGCATAGCATTGGCATGATTAAAACCCAGGACAGTTGAAAACCCAGTTTTTCCACCATACTAATCATCATGTTTGCTCAATTTTTTTTTTTTTGAGGAAGATTAGCCCTGAGCCAACATCCATTACCAATCTTCCTCTTTTTGCTGAGGAAGATTGGCCCTGAGCTAACATCTGTGCCCATCTTCCTCTACTTTATATGTGGGACACAGCATGGCTTGACAAGTGGTGCATAGATCTGCACCCAGGATCCGAACCTGTGAATCCAGGGTTGCAGAAGCAGAGTGCGTGAACTTAACTGCTGTGCCACGGGGCCAGCCTCCATATTTGCTCAATTTTTAATTTTACTGTTTTGATATTAAAACAATATTCTTCTCGTATACCTTGAAAATTATCATCATAACACAAAATTGTCTTTTAAAAATAGTCTAAAATTTTATTTTTAGCTTGTGGTAGGCAAAATAATGGTACTCCCAAAGATGTCCAGATCCTAATACCCAAAACCTGTGAATTATTGCCTTACATGGCAAAAGAAACTTTGCCTTTGCAGGTGTGATTAGCTTAAGGACACTGAGATGGGAAGACTATCTTGGATTATTCAGCTCAGCCCAAGGTAATCATAAGGGTCCTTAAAAGAGGGAAACAGGAATGTCAGAGCAGGAGAGAGATTCAAAGATGCTACACTGCTGGCTTTGAAGGTGGAGGAATGGGGTCAGGAGCCGAGGAAGGTAGCCGGACTCTAGAAACTGGAAAAAGCAAGGAAACGGTTTCTTCCCTAGAGCCTCCCAGAGGAATGCAGCTCTGCTGATCCCTTTATTTTAGGCCAGTAAGATTCTTGTCAGACTTCTGACCCCCAGAACTGCCAGGTAATAAACTTGCATTGTTTTCAGTCACTACATTTTTGGTAATTTCTTACAGGAGCAATAGGAAACAAAGTGGTATACAAAGGGCCTTCAGGTGGTCTTGGCCGTGATGAAGCCACCATAAGCATCATAAGGGGCATCAACACTCGCACTGAGGATAGGAGAGACCCTGAGCCATCTTGTTTGGCACTCTATGCAGCATTTATTTGCCTCTCCACTCTATGCCACAGAGGCCATTTTGTGCTGTATTATAATACCATCCCCAGGACATACTACAAATTGGAATTAGCTGTGTGTCGATTATTTAACAAAAGCTTCGGCTCTCCGTATCCGCTTAGATGCAATTAATGAGCCAAAAGAGACCAATCATCAGTTTTAACTGCTTGGCCTTCAGATCGGAGCAACTTTCTGCTTTCTTGCTTTGGAAAGGTCATCATAATTCTATTTTAAAATCCTAAAGATCACAAAACATTTAAAACGCTTCCTTGAAAATTCTGAAAGCTCCCGAGCCCAGTCAGGCCAATAAAGAATGATCATTTAATATTTGTTAAGTGCCCACAGTCTGGAAAATATCATAGCAGACAAAGAAAAAGAGACAAACACACTAAAAAATTATAAGCACTGCTTTGAAAGAAAATAACCCTCACCTGCAGGTCTTGGGAGGAGATAATGCTGGTTGATCAGAAGTAATGACCCTGTAAATTGATTACAAACAATAAGCCACGATGAAAAAGCCACAGTAATCTCTGTTCCTGGTTAAAATGGTGAGGTCTGTAATTAGACTACAGGAGTAAAAGACCTGAACTCTCCTCTGATCATTTGTAGAGAAAGATCAGTGTAACATGATATGTACTTTAGTAATAGCCTTTCAAATTTTGTGAAAATATTTTTCTCATCCTCTGTCCTTGTGGATAATCTCCGTATAATTTTGAACAAAGCATTGTGCTACATGTTATACGAGATACAATAATATTAATAATTGTATTATTATTGTTGTATTTTAATTGTAATCGTATTAATAAATGTACTAACATAAGGCCCTTCTCTCAAGGAAAGCACCATCTAGTGGAAGAGAGAAAAATGCCTACATGTGCAAAGGCTTTTAGTCCCTCACAGCACTTGGCAGAACATTGCCTGATTTTAAAAGACCTTAATACAAGACTAATTGTGTAATTACAGTACAAGGCAGAATGTGGTAAAGATTAAGTTAGAGGTACAAACAAAACATGATATATTAAAAGTTTCCCAACATCTGAAGAACTATTAGTTTGTATAATTGCCATTTGCTAAATTATAAAGCCAAGCTTGGCATTATATAACTTGCCTAAGGTCAAAAACCTTCTTAAATGGAAACAAAAGTGAAAGAATTTTTAAAAGTTAATGAACTTTTGGCTTGACTTTAAAGGAACCCCATATAGAAGTGTGACAGGAATTTACAGTCCCCCCTCCTTCGTATCAGAGGACAGTCTGAATCCCAGGAATTAATTTGAGACTCATGCCATTCCCCATCCAACAGAGAAAGCAACCATTAAAAGTTACTATGGGTCTTTGTGCCGATGCCAGACCCCAAGTGTTCCATTGTGCAGACCCACCAGCAGTGCACAGCATTGCTAATAAAAGAAATATTCTTTCCTTAATAGAGATTTAGATTATATTGTATTTAAGGGGGAAAAGTTTGTGTTTCTAAGATGAGTTTTCTTAATATTTCCTCTAATAGTGAGAACATCAGCGTGAAAGGAGAAAAGGAATATAAAATGGAAAGAGTCACTTAAACCCTATTTCATGGGCCTGGGGCCTGCGAGCCTGGGAAGTTGCAAACATACACACCCACCTAAGGGAAGCCGCCCCCCCCCCCCCCCCACCAGACTGTAGGGCTCAGGAAGGAGAGGCGGTAAGTTCACCCTGTCGGGAAGTTAGCATTTTCAAGAGGGAGATGAGGTCAAATTTCCGAAAGAGAAACTTGAGGGGCAGATAAAGAACATCAACAACAAACCTGAGGTTAGCATTTTCAAGAGGGAGATGAGGTCAAATTTCCGAAAGAGAAACTTGAGGGGCAGATAAAGAACATCAACAACAAACCTGAGGTCAGGGAAGCAGAGAGTCATCCTGGCAGTGTCCTCCTAATTAAGATGTATCTGTAAAGATTGTGGAAATAAGTAAAGGACACCTCATTGAAAATGGAGTTGGGAGGCCTGAAGAGGGGCTCTAACACACGTACCACTCGTTGCAGCCGCACAATGAGCAGGAAGAAGGAAGATAATTATTTTGACAAGGGAGAACATTAACCACGTGGGAATTTTATCTCCTGCTTTTAAGAAAAAAATGGAAGATCCCTCCCAACCCCCAGTAACAGCGCCCTGACCACCGCGTGCAGCCAAGGAGGAACGGCCACCAGCTCCAGCTCTTCTTCTTCTCCAATGAGCTGTCGTCCAAACGCAACTCTCCCCAATTTCCTTCTAAAACTTAGTAAAATCTGACCTGCTCTTTGTCTCTTCGGGCTTGCCTGTCTTTCACCACAGCTTGCATATCCTGAATTCCGATTCCTCTGCCATTCCCAAATAAAGCCATTTGGCTGGCAAAATAACTGGTGTTTTATTTTTAAGCTTGGTGAGTGTATGTGAACCCAGACAGCAGGTTCAAAGGGAAGTCTCAATCGACTAGATCTTTCATTTTTTCTCTTCCGTGTTGTAATTTCCGTATGAAAGTTCCCTGACTCATATGCCCGCAGTTGGGTGTATTAGTCTTCTGGAGGCTGAATGTCAGGTGTGAAAAATAGAGAAGATCGCTCCATTCATTTACTCCAAGGCCCAATCAAGGAAGAGCTGTTAGTCCCCTCAGTGATCCTTACAATACAATAGTGGTACAAGTGATAATCAATAACACCAAAAGGCAGCCCGAAGAGCATCAGCAGAGAGACCCATTACCACAGAGGAACATATGCAGAGGACGTATGAAGAGACATTTAAGCTTTAACTTCTAAATATCTAGCAGATTAGGAGAAGCACTCACTGAGAAGGAAAGAGAAGGCACTTGAAGCCTCTGGTTTATATAAATTTATATCCACAGTAGGCTAATGTTTTGAAATAGTAATCCAAAGGGATTATTTCTGTTCTCAGAAACACCTTTTACTGTGACCCTTCCCATAGTTAAAATTGGACGTGAGGCTCAGATTTATTGACTTAGAGGAGAGCCAAACTAGTAAGATAAACTCTCAAAGCCTAGATTTTTGACTGTCAAAATGGGTTATTAACATCAAAATAGAGATACTAGTTTTAAAAGCACAAACTTTTGGTTGCAAGAATCAGTTTTCTTATTGAAAGAATGTTTTTTTGGGTTCTGAATGGTTCAAAGACTAAACTTTATACCATAATGGAGGAAATAAATATTAATATGATTCAGTTTTCCTGCCCAAAAGGATATAAATTCAAACAGATTGGAAGAGAGGGAGTGGGGAGGTGAAGAAAGCAGTAGTAACGTGTGCCTTTCATGGATCTTGAGACGTCTCACCGCTAAACCAAGCCAGTAAAGTGGGGAAGTGGATTATGGTGTGCTTTCAGTAATCTCATTCTTTTTATCGTATTGCTAAGGTAAAACTATCCCTTTTGCTTCAGTTTACAATTTCTCATTCTTTGGTAATAGCATCCTTTTGATTATGCTTGCTTTCATCTCATGATCAATTTTCTGGATAGCCCATTCAATGTTCAAACACATGTGAGAGTAAGGTACGTCAATAACTAAGGGGAAAGCAGTTGCTCTGTTGTATCATAACGTCTGTACCCACATGAACACACATTTCCTGATGCTTATTTTTCACACAATATTGAGGCTATGGTGAAAACATTGCAACCCAAATGGGTTATAAAGTTATCGAGTTTCTCCATTTCTTTACTGCTTTTCTTTCTTTTAAGAACAAAAATTTTCACCTTTCAGGTTTTTGGAAACACTAAAAGAAGCAGAGCTGTCTACTCTTTCTTCTAAGTCACCCTGCTTCTTGGGAGGAATTCAAATGGAGCCAACAGGAAACACGAATGAAACTGGCTTAAACAATAAGTGAGATCCATTGGCTTTCCTGCTTGGAAGATCTAAAATATGAGGGGAGGAGGGGCGGGGAGGTGTCTCAAAAGTGATCTTATCAAGAACTCGCTTTCTTTCAGAAGACATAGTCAGGTTAGTCCCAGAAATCTTGAGCAAATCTCTTCTCGTGTTTCATTAGCACAAACTGAATCATATGCTCACTCCTATGCCTAAGGGATGGGATTATAAGAAACGGCTTATGTTTGAGGATTTGGAAAAAAAGAAGTTCTCAAAGAAGTTTGAAATGGACCAAAATTGAAGTAAAAAGAAAACCATTTATGTTTATGTCTCAGACCATAAATTAAGGAATGACGTGACAGAGGAAGGCCAACACAATTGAATTCTGCTGAGGTCAAGATAAGGACATAAAAGTGACCACTGAATTTGGTTACCATGACAAGAGCAATGTGAGTATAGAAGAGGGAAGAAAGCTTGGAGGATGCAGAAGAAATGAAAAGTTGGTTCAAAAACATATATAAACAATTATTTTGAGAAATTTTTAAATGGAAGGGAGCAGAGAAATTATATAGCAGCAGGCACAGAACATGGAATCAAAACAGATGGAGTTTTTGGTAAGGTGAGAGATAATGTATTACAAAATATACATAGGCTGTGGAGAATTATCCAATAAAGCGGAAGAAGTCAATGATACAGAAGATAAATGATATATTTGTAGAATGAAAGTTATTGAGAAGGCAATAGTCTTGGAGTGTTAGGATCCTTGTTCTGGAAAACCACACCCTTTACCACATGGTTAGTTGAAAATAACTAGATTACATTAATCTCTGTTAAATCATGATTCCTGAAATATCTGATTTTTATAATTAAATTTGTACATTTCAGTTGATGTTGAGTAGTTTTCCTCTTGCCCTATAACTGATATGAAGGATTGAAAGCTAAGAACAAAGGGGCATCAAGTACCTAAAATTCTGAACTGAAGCACAAACAATTGGGGGCCAGACACCTTGACTGTTGCCAAACTCACTTTACTACCTACACCATTAACCTGCACTACCCTATCCCTTCCCCTCAGATAAACCGAATACTAGGGAGGAGAGAGAGAGGAGAATCTCCTTGGTCTTGAGACTTTATCCTAGGGAGACAGGACTGTGGCTTCCTATACTCACAAGGGGAGCCCTACAAACAAAGAGCTCTTTACCTTCCCATTAATAGGGTAATTGCCCAAAAAAAGACCTGGTTTATACCTCGAGCCCCTTTTATTCTCAAAAGTGACCTGATTTTGACAATGCAATATTTGGCCACCCTGCCCAACAGCCAAGTGAAGATTAACTCTTTCCAGAATGATTGGCATTGCATTTCTGCATGAAAGTCAGTTTACGCCATGAGCTCACTAATCTTCTGGAGCCTATACAAGCTGGCAGAAAAGAGAACTGCACGGAAAAGACAATGTGAAGAGACAGGAACAATGGAATAGCTGGCATTTCCATGGTTTGAGGTGGTGAGAATGCAGCAGATTTCTATGAGTCAAGTAGTGAGAGAAGGTACCTATGTTTCAGTCATCTCCCTGGTCCCTCACCACACCCCTCTCTGCTGGCCACAGAGAGCAGAGAGCTGCAAACAGGGAGCTTTTGGAGGTGGAGGGAAGAAGGGAAAGGTGGTTGGAAGAATTAGAGCCAGTAAATCTCCTGCCTCTGGGATGGTGAGATGGGAAGAAATATCTCATGGCTCCCAAAGAGTCAGGCTTGTAACTGGAAGAGCAGCATTTGATTCCTGCCAGACAGAGGGCATCACAGCTGGCCATCATTATGTACATAAGCACGCACAGCAGTGAAAATGTACTAGTGAGGTTAAAAGATTATTGCCTGTTTCTGCAATGCCTTCTCCCGCCACTATCAATGAAGTAAACAGATCCAGAAAGAAGGGAAAAGGGGTGAAGTCGTGGAAATGCAACGCTCCATGGTCAGCACTGGGAGGAAAGAAGGTGATGAAATCAGAGATTTAAAGACAACAAGGCTAGATTGCAGTTTTTAACAACAGAAAGTGACGGGACATCTATGGGATCTCCGAAGATGTCATTATGGGTCGGAAAAAGGATAATCAACGAAGCATGGTTGAAGGCGATGATGGGGGGTGGAACTATTTTGGGTTTGTATACCGCCAAGTCAAGACTGTCCAATAAATTTATTTGTTTAAAACCTTACCTTCTCTTTCACCCACCCCTCTTAGTCATTTCATTATTGCAAGCCGAGTTTAGGGTTTTGGTGTGCCTGTAATCTGTTTCATAAGATCATTTTTTTAATGGTGGTTTATCTTACTCATGAGACAAAAGAGTAGTTGGTGATGAATTCTGAACTCTAAATACCTAATTTCCCTTTCTAGAGTATAATATTTTCAAACACCCAAAGCAATAATATCTCACCCAGAAGGTAGAAATACGAAAGGCTGATCCATTAGGAACCAGCCTTTCCATCTTGCCCTGCAGTGCACTAAATAAATGCAGAGGTTTCAACTCTTATCCATTTTAATTCTCAGATACAGAAGGGCAAGTCAGGGAGGTAACTAGCTTCTATAGATCTCTCTAAGAAAAACTGAAATGATCAACTTCAGGCAGCTAATCTAACACTGGATCAAAAGCCCTCAGGGAAATATTTGTGTTTTACTAGTTTACTCAGAGAAGCAGCTCTAGGGATCTGCAGATATCCTCTGTGATTTTGACTGAAGGAAACACTGATGCCAGAGCTGAAGCTGGTGATTTAATCATAGAAGCAATTCAGCCTTTAGCAATCCTATCTCCTAAGAAATCAATAGCTACACTTTCCGTTCTATTAAAGGATTTTTTTAACTTCTCCACCTGACCAAGATATTAATTTGTATATGTTCCATTGTCTGCTTTTCTGGTTGATACCTTAAGATGTTGAAAGATGAATTCAATGATTCAGTTTGAAATGCTTTCCCCAAAAGATTTCCTCTGTCATCATCATTATTTTAACTACTTATTGATTCACATACCATTTTTCAAACACTGGAGTGCTTTAAAAAATTATCTCCAATATCCAAAGATAACATTTCTGATCAGTCTTCCAAACAGAATCCCCCAATCAGTTGAAGGTGCTACAAAATAGCCTTCAGAAACAGTCATTCTGAAGAATTCTCTGTTCAGAAACAGAGATTTCCATTATTTTTTTTTTAATGGACCAATAAAAATCCAAAAGAAGAGCTAGAGAAATTGCAGCATCAAGGAAGATCATGGCCTATGGTAATGCCAAGGGCTTGTGAAATCTAGTACCGTCTACATTGAAGTTCTCAAAACTTCCACATGATGGAGCTCTTCACAATACACGCATATACAGAGGCTGTGGTTTTCCATCACTTAAGAAAAACATGGCTTCCTCCTCTGATTTTCTTGAATGATTTTTACCTACGTTGACATTTCATTCTACCTTGTAATAAGTGGTTAAATTAGTTTAATATTTGGATATATGTGGGTTTCATTAAATCACGGGGTATACTGAACAATAGGGGTGAACTGAAAAGAGCATTAGAAGGGGAGCCCGGAGTCATGGATTCCTTCTTGAGGACTCACCGTCTAACTACGTGTCCTTGCTCAGTCACCTAGATGTTTTTCATCTCATTCTCTCTTTTAAAAAGGTTAGATCCTAGAAATAATGACTTTCAAACTCTGAAAGTTTCATCTCTAAAATGTTAAGATTATCGGATACCCATAAATCTCATACATTGCTCTTAAAGCTAAGCATTCTCTTTGCTGTGGAAGCTTTGCAGATAGCTCAATAAATACTTGATTTCTCTCTTGTTGACAATATTTATAATTACATCTTCTAGAAAATATGTTTTATTATATTACAATCAATGTTCAAACTGATTTATTAGAGGAAATAGGCCGATGTTTATATCAATTTGGCCTCTGGACTTTGGAAATAGAGACCAACACAGTCTTACTCACAGGGTATGATAATTAGTTTACCTTTATTAAACATTATACTGAAAATAGAATGAAGATATTTCTAATTTCAGCAGGAGGACTGTTTAGTAAAACTGATCAGAGTGTGTATATTAGAGGTCTTCTAGTCCTCTAGATATTACCAGCTACCAAACAAAGACCATGTGTTCTGTTTCCATGTGTGACCTATCTTGGTAATATAGAAATGTATATCCATCCACAAAGACTTATTGAGTTCCTACTGTGTGTCGACCACTGTTCTACTTATTGAGGATATAGTAACAAAGAAAATATACCAAACAAAATCATTTTCTAAACAAGAATATATACATAGAGAGACAGACAGACAAACAGAGATAGGGAGGGAAGGAGAAGAGGAGAGGGAGATTAGAGCTAAGAAGTTGTATGTGCTTACAGTAGAAGTCTTATTAGAAGAACAATTTCTCTCCATATCCTAGTTCAACCTTGCTTTCAGTATACTTAAGAATGAAAGGAACACGTGCATTTAAAATCCAAAGGTGTGAGAACAAATACTCCAGTAGAATTACTTGTGTCTGCTTCTGCTAAACTCTTGGTACAACACACTTTAAAGGGTGCTTGGTCATCAGTTCTGAGTACAGATTGGTACTTGACATCCTTAGCACTTACTCTGATGTCATTGTGTTTGCTTATTTGTTAAAGGTCAAATAAGGTAAATCTAGAAATATGTTCTCATTTTTCAAATGCTTAGATTTTGATGATCTTTTTCCTCCATTTTTTCTAAATAATGTCTCATTTAAGTGCAAGGTTACAAAATATTTAAGTCACAGACTTTTTTCCTCATAATGTTTGAATTGTACGGTTTCATCAGTCTGCAACTTAAATCTCTGTTCTTAGTCATTTTTCCTCTTAATTTAGTCTTCCATTAGGAAGTAATAATAAATCATGGAGGCTGTTTGTAGCTGGAGAAAGAAGTAAATATTTCCTGAGCTTAAGATATTAACGGTGCCCCTCCTTGTTTCTAACTCTAAGAATATAAATTTCTATACTTTCACATATATTTTTAAACTATAACTGCTTGTGTCAGGCACTGAGCTCATTTCTGGGAATATGATGGCTGAAATATGGCCCTTGCTGAGATCACATTTAACAGGGAGAAACAAAACACGTGGGCAAAAAAAGTAGGATGCAAAGTGATTGGTTAAGCTCTGTGCCAAATAATAGAGGATCATGGCAAGGAAAAAGATTATTTATGAATAAAGGGGTTTCAAAACCTTCACAGGAAGGCATGATCTTTGCCTCTTTAAGAATAAGTAGCAGGTCACCCGGAAGGAAAGAGGTAGAGGTCAATATAAGCAAATTTATAAGGATTTTTAAACATATAGGTAATTATGAATGGTCCGATATGGTTAGAGATTAAACTTTAAGTGAACACTAAATGTAATTATTTTCACAAACAATTTTTTTTATAAATAGAGACAAGTTACTTGATGACTAATTATTCAGTGTATCACCTTTTCAGGACCTTAGTCTTATACAAAGATCTTGACTAGTTGACCATTTTTAGAAGACACCTCGACCCTGTAATGTGGTCAGTACACCTAAACATCATCTACTGGCACTACACTGCTTTCTTTTTCAAAACTCTGGATCCTTTGTCTAAACTACTGAGATTAAAAACATATTTGCCTCTACGTCAAGGTTGTCAATCGTTTTTTCTGTAAAAACTTTTATTATATTCAAATATAGAGGAAAAGTCACTTAGATCAAGACGTTTTATCAATATTTTTGGCATAAAACACTGATATTTAGGTTTATTGATCCAATTCATGTGTGTTTTCTGTTATCCAACCCCCCAAAGTTTTATATTAATTTATTTCCTTCAAAGTGCTTTGGTATTTTCTGCCACTTTCTCAGGGAAGTAAAAAGAAAGGAGAAGGCAACATGAGGGAGAGAATTGAAAACAAGGTCTTATGATGGAAAAGAAGAGGTTTTATTTCTATGTTTAATAGATCTCTAAAGTTTCCAAAAAATTCCCACAATCTATCTCCTAAGACAGATCAAGGAGGCATTATAAGAAACCTATAGCAGAAAGAAAATGTCAAGGAAACATCACAGACATAAAACAGATTTTTTCCATGAACAAATCGTTGCTAGGACATATTTTCTATAAATGTCCAGCACCTGCCTTGTACAGGTGCTCTTGACAAATACTTCAGGCACAGAAATTCTAGAATGTTAAAAATCTGATTTTTTATATCTTTTCATACAAGTGAATTCTAAGTTCAAGTTAAAACACTAATAAAATATATATCCTTAATTTTTGCTTTTGTCATTTGAAAATGGGGACTTTAAATGTTAATACAAATGGTTTTATAAATAGGCAATGCTTTGGAAACCACAAATTCTAAAGTTTCTAATGCAAAAGATGTCAGCACTCAAAGATTCTAAAATACGTCATTTACTCTTATTTCTGTTATATGGCTTTATGATACTCGTTTTAAGTAGCTAGAGACTGTTACTCTAAATTGAGTTTCTCAGAAAGAGATTTTTTAGCCATAATAACAACAAAGTTATTGCTAAACAGAAAGGATTTATTTGCCAAGTTTGCTTGCAAAAGTCAATCATGCCTGCAGAGGAACTTGATTAATGGTGCATAATCTACAGATGTTATGGAAGCATTGTAAGTGAGAATGTTAATTATCTAACTTTTTAGAAGAAAGATAAGAGTTTAACCTTTAGAAAAAGAAAGACAGGACTAAATAACTCATGGGAATTAATAATGGGATAGTGAGCTTTTTATATTCACAATGGCAACTGAAATCCATCCCAGGTGACAACTGACAGTGAGACATGAACATCAGTTTTTACCAAGGCTGACACATGAAGTGCTGGCAGCCCCTTCCGCTTCATCCTGAATAAGAGTCTATATCTCTAAAGCACTCGAAAATACCAGTGTGTGCACCAGAGATTTATTGCTATAGGTTACTCGAAGACAACTGAAACTCTAATAAACACTCAAGAATTACCCAGCTACCAAGCTCTAACTTTTCACGCTATTCTGTACTACAGCTGTTTATGACGAATCACAGCTTACCCATGATCTAATGTATGTTATTTGATAGCTACTTTCTCTGTTTGCTTGTTCCTTGTTTGGGGAGGGTAAACACTGATCTTTTTTTAAGTAAAAGCTCATTGAAATGTTTATGTGTACCGATGCTCAGATTCTCCTTTCTGCCTGAAGTCAAAGTCAATATAAAACAAAGAACTGCAGAAGTCATTTAGCTTAATCATGTGAATGATGAAAGGCAAGAAAGATTTTACCAATATATAACATTTCTTATGAAACCTAGACACGTTAGGTGACAGCCCTTTTGAATTGCAATGCAAGGCCGGCAACGTTAGACATTCAGACAACAGGCTGCTAAAAATGCTTCCTCAGTGTTCTTTAAGGGGACCGTCATCTTCTTCTGCTGGTTTGAATTTTGGTGTTCTTCAGACATTTTTGCCCTCAACCTTTTTCTCTCTTGCTCCGTATGTTACCAAGGTAATCCGATTCTTGCCAAGCTTTCGACTACCACAGACACGCTGATGCCTTCCAAGCTAACAGCTCCAGATGAGCTTTCTCAGTTGCATTCCAGGAGAGCATATCCAATTGCATACCGTACACTGCAGGTGTGCATCCCACGCTACAAAACTATACCTCACATAAATGAGCTTTCTTTATATTTCAAGAATTGAACTTCATTTGTATTTGAGAACCCATTTCACCCAATAATGAAAACTTCATTTCAATCAGTTGAAGGAGCAATCTGCCTTCTCCCTCGACTTGCTCTTCAATTCTGAGGACATTGCGGGGTTTGAGAACAATCTGTTTACATATGCACTTTGCCATTTGCTGAGATGTCCCTGTTCCCAGTTTGGGCTTTACTCATCAACCCACAGAAATCTGGGCCACAATCTCCTCTTTCCTGACTTCATTGAATTCAGCCCACTTTCAGCCATGGATGAGCCATTCTAGGGCACATGGAAAATATTCACTTGATCCCAAATCACTCAGGGTTGTGGGCATGTCTGCACAGCCATCTCCAGCCAGTCTATCTAGACACACCAGGAGAAGATTTTTTCTGCTCCTGCCCTTGCTTGTTGTGAGAGAATGCTGTAATTTGCCAAATCATGTCTCTGGAGTTGAGGAAGAGAGGTCCCTTTCTGGAGCCCATAACATTTTCTCTAGCCTAGGAAGGGGAAGAGATTTGCAGAAAAGGAATATTTTTATCTGTTTTCAAAATTCTTTTTTTCTTCAAAATTTTTCTTTATGGGAAGGCCTAGGCTTATGGAAGTTAAACCTAAGAATTAACTCTTTTGCTGTGCTTCATATTGATCATCTCTTCTCTTGTGGCAGCGTAGACAGAATACCCTAGCTGCCTGGGCCAGGGGAATACCAACTGAATCCAAGAGAAGGGATTAAAACATCATTTACATCTCAATATGTTATCCCACCTCATCATTCTCTTCGTATATATCTTCCACAAATGGTATATACTCAATAAATCTAAAAGTCATAACCATCCACCCAAGTCTACCCACTTCCTGTGTGCATATCTCAGTAAATGGCATGGTTATCAATCTAGTAACCCCTAAAAAAGCACCTATGCTATCCAAGAGTCCACTGTATCCCTCAGTGTCTAGGTGGTAACACTGTCCTATTAATTCAAATGTTATACTAGCTCTCAAATCAATTCCTTCTGGATAGAGTATTAGTTTATGCCCTCATCATTTTCTGCCTAGACTATTGCAATAGCTCCAAACTGATCTAACCTCCCACCCCAGATTTGTTCTCAACAACACTGAAAAAAAATCTTCTCTAAAATATTATACCAAACAATGGTAAATATTTACTCTTTGTCTGAAACTTCACTCTCCTCTGTCTCCATCTAGTTAATCCCTACCTGTCTCATAAGAATCATCAAGCCTTGTGACTCTGAGAAGCTTTGCCGGATTTACCATCACCCCCACCCCCTTGCCCTTCTTCAAATACTCCGTGATGTAATTTTTGGTTATTTGTCTCTCTGTCAACACTTTAATGTGACAAGTAAGGCATAGACCATATGAAAATGAGTGTGTTTGTATTCTAAGTGCCTAACACAGTGCTGAGAATACAGTACATTAGAAGCATCAAACTGAAGTGATATCCGACCTCCCCAGTCAATGGGACTTGCCTGGTGGTTCTAAATCTCACTCCTCTTGCTCCATCCCCAAATTCAGTTCTTCCTCAAAGCCTTGGTCTTGTGACTGTGAGTGTTCTTATCCTGCGGAACATCTCGTATGACTCCTCGTTTTATTCCTCTGGATGGAGGCATGTAAAAGTAATCAAAATTTGTAAAGAAAAGGCATTTATCAATGCTATAGAAAACAAAAATGTTTGCAGGAAAATAATTAAGTATCCCCTATGGATTAGTAGTGAACAGCATTTACATAGTCATGATGATGTAAACATGGTATGTTAATCATCCAAAATGACAGTAAAACTACCAGGGATAGAAAAGTGTGTGGGGAAGCAAGCAGCTGAAAGTCAAAAGATAGTGTCTAAAAGTGAAAAGTCAGGAAGGAGAATATAAGCACATTATTTGGAAATATGGAGGAATGTACAGGGCTGTGGAGGAACAGAGGAAGGGCCTCGAACAATCTGGTGGGAATCTAGAGAGTCTAATGGTTTTTCAGCAGACATTCAACAATTCTGCTTCACCGACCCTCACTTCCACTTCTGCATGTCTCCAGTGCTAGCCAACTCCTGAGCCTTTTAGTAATTCTCTAATTAAATCGAATTGATCGTCAGCCCTCCCACTGTGTAGGATTCAGCTTCCTTGGTTCTGCTTTGTCTGTTACCACTTGTCCTGCTGGTTTCCAGCCTCAAAAACTTTTTCTGCTGGATCTGCTATTGCCTCCTCTGCAATTTCCTTTGTCCTAGTTGGTTTATGCCTTTATATATAGATTTACTAAACTTTTAGTGGGAGTTTCAGATAGAGAAAAGCTAACTATTTATATTCAGACTGGCTTTTTTTCCTATGATTTTTCTCTTCACTTTCAAAAGTTCTCCTGTCACTCTTATTCACAAAACATTTTCATTCAGGTAATTAAATTGTCCAGTACATGTAATAGCAAAACTCAGGAATTCATTTACGTTTGAAGTCATCCGCTAGCTCCTCTCTGGCAGTCTTCATGCTGGACTTCACAGTGAGTGACACAGCGTGGGTGACTTTTTCTTTACTTTCTCCTCCTCTCCCCCTGCCATCCACCACCAGCTCTTGTAGGCACTGAGAAGAGGAAGAGAGAGAAATAGGTAAAGAGCAGGAAAGATCTTACTTTACGGGTTACTGGCACTTCAGCAATCTGGAGTTGGTGCTCTCTAGACTTGTGCATTCAAAGATGAATCTTTCCTTTGTAGATTCTTTGGAAAACACTACCCCACTCCTTATCCATACACCCTGGGAGCTTCCAAATGTAGCTCGCCTGACATGACAATGACTCTCCTTCGTTGTGTTGCTTGCATCTCTCTCCTCAAACTCTGGCAAGCCACCCTGCTCAGGCTCTCCATCCAGGACCCACAGTCCTCCCAATCAAACCTTCTAGCACAAAGCTCTCTCTCAAACCCACTTTCAGTCCATAGATTCCTTTGACTTAATAAACACTTGGAGTGAGTGACTTCCAGTGCATCACGCCTCTTCACTGTCCGTCAGAGCAACTACCCAGCCACAGCCTTTCCCTTTAGGACTTTCTGGGAATTGACCTGGCATCATCCTTTGTGCCTAAAGATGCAGGCAATCCAAATGGCGCTCTCCAAGGTGTTTCACTGAAGCTCCTCAGAGTCAGCACGAAGTGAAAGAACAGCATTTTATTCCCTTCTCCCATGGGTGGAGGGAATACAACTGGAATGCAATAAATTTCTCCAAAGAAATATTTTTCTTTATTTCTTCAATCCTGACACTTTATTCCCTCAAGTGAGTTTTAGGCTAAAAGTTATAAAACCTGCTTGGGCATCTCCTCAGCAAGTAATGAGTAAGTGGTCCAGAACCTCACTTTGGAATGGTTTGCCTCCTCTCGTTTCTTTCTCTTCATCTTGGGGCTTCAGTCAAATACAAGACACAGAGAGTCACATTTTTACATCTTCCTATCCTCAACAAATTACCTAATCGCCATAAAGTGAAAAGCTTACCACAATGACCTATGCAAATCCTCTTATCTACAAACAACCAAGAGTTTTATACACAGACTCTGTAGAAACGCTAGTGTTACATTTGCTTGCATGACAGGCAGAAAAGCAAGAAAGTATGGAAAATAGCTTATTTAGATATGTAGATTTGGTCTTCATTTAAATCTTCAATACTTACTTAATAAAACTGGGATTTTAAGGTCCATTAATCAGGATCTAAACATGAAAACAGGAAACCACTTCAAGTATTTGCATCATGAGAAATTTAATCAGAAATTACTGACAGGTGATGAAAAAGCTGAGAACCCAAATAGGAGAGAGCGAGGCAAGCCAGGAACAAGCAAAAGCAGGAATCCACTATCAGCTCTGAACCAAAGAGAAAAAGCAAGAAGGTAGTGTTACCAGAGGCCAGATTGGAGCCACATGGGCCTTTCCAAGAGCCATGGAGAATACACAGCCACGGCCAAGAAAGCCACCCAAGATCTGGGCGGGGAGGGAGTTGGCCTGGCTTCTCCCTGCCTCCTGCCTTCCCGTCTCCTGTCATGGTTCACACTGACCTCACACATGTCAGGATGCAAGGACCATCCCTCCTGTGATACAGCGCAATGAATCTGAGGGCCAATGGGCCCAGGACAGGCACATCAGGAAGGTAGGGTCTTCTCAAAAGAGTAGCAAGTGAATGCATGTCCATTTTATCATTATTCTTTAAACTATATACATTTTTATTTTATGTGCAATACACTTTGCAATAAATTTTTAAAATTCTTTTCTCCTAGCATGTGGAGAAATGTTTTGCTTAGTAGATTGTATCAGTAATTTCGGTGCATGGCAGAAATGTGAGCTTTCCAGATTGAATACTTTTTTAATGTAAGATCTTTAAAAATTCCAGTCAGTGTCCATGTTAGTAAAATGGACATCATAATACCTACTTTGCAGAGTTATTTCAAGTTCCAAGGGAGACAGTACTCACGAGAGGCCTAACACTGCCTGGAACGAGGCAGGACCTCAGCGAAAGTGAATGGCCAACGCCTTTCCTAATAGAGCCGTGAAAAAGCGAGTAAGGCTTTTTCTGATTTCAGGACTTGACCAGAAAAGAATAAATAACCATAAATTCTCTTTCATATTCCTAGGGAAGGTAATTAACATGCTTCCATGAATTTTTAGTATTGTATTCATGCTTTGCTACTGGCATATTCAAAAGCAGAAGCCAACACTAAGAATTATTGCAGAAAAAGATGCTGCTGTTACAGTACCGATTGTTCCAAGGGGTTGAAAGAAAAAGCATGCTAAGTATACAAGGCAGATTGGCCACCCCTCCTGAAAGAAAAGATTTAAAATGGAGCAAAAGAGATTTAAAATCACTCCCCATAAACAATGGCAGGATTGTGCAGTTTACTGAGGACTGAAATAACCCCACAGCAGTGCAGTGAATTTTCATTGATGTATAAGTGGTCGCCTATTATTTGCAACAATGAAGAGGACTAATTTAACTCTAGAATGTAGCCGGGGAGGCAAGGCTGGCTTAATAGGTTCATTCTCTGCAGGAATGCATATGAGTGAGTAGGGGAAATAAGGAGAGTCGCGGGGTGGGGAAGAGAAGGCAGAACGAGATGACTGCAAACCGCACGGCATCTTTGCTTAGAAGTCTGTCACACAATGTGCCAAGGAGCTGTTTCAGTGCCCTACTGTGTGAGTCAAGAAATGTGCCTTTAACTTGACAAAGTACAAAAGGTAAAGACTGGGAAGCTGACAGACCTCAGGGATCTCCGTTACTGGCTGTTACCTTCAGAGTGTCATTGGCAGAAGATGAAAGCAGGCCCTGGCACACACAGCTGCAGGTGCACAGCTCTAACCGGGGTCCAAGCAGCAGGGGAAGGAAAGGTGTGCCCTTCAATGGAATCCAATTTGTTAAAGGAAACTGCACATTCTGGAAAACTATTTACCCTGATTTGGAAATTAGTGGTTGCCTTAGCAACGCCTGAATGCCATGAGGCTCAAACACAGTGCTCATTTCAATTCATGGACACCTTCACAGGGGAGGAATGCAAACAGTGACTTGAGCATCCCACTGGCATGAATCTCATAGAAAATGAGATTCCTTCTGCCTGTAAAAATATCCTCGTTTATCAATAATTTCTATATACCAGGTGATATGCAGTCAGCTTCGCATTTGATCTCATTTGATGGTTTCTGCAAGCCTGCAAAATTGTCAATATTCCCATTTTACAGATGAAAAATGAGCTATAGAGAGGCTACGTAACTTTCTCAAGGTCACTCAGTGGTGGTTTGAGGATTTTAACTCAGATTTGACTGACTCTAAAATTTCCTGTTCTTTTAGCATTTCTAACTTTGTTAAGAATAATACAAATTTTTTTTAAAACTGCAAAGTACCTTAGGGATTATCCCTCACAATGTCCTTATTTAAAACATAAGGAACTAGAGACACAAGAAGGTCAAGAGATTTACTCAAGGTCCCATGGCCAATAACAGCAGAGTTGAGAACAGAATTCAGGTTTCAGACTCTATTTGGGCACTCATTTATTGAAGACCCCCTCTGAGTCATCTAAAGTGAGATGTTCTCAATGTTGGACGGTATTTCGTTCATTTTTGCACGACTTTTTCTATATACAGGTAAAACCAAAGTAGAAATATAAACTGGGAGGATTCCCATATTGTGTTGAGACAGCACAGTAAGAGTTTAACATTTTAAACCCAAAACATTAAAGGTGACTGATTTACACAGGCCCTTCCAAGCTGTGCACGTACACAGCTGCTCATGTCATAAAGGGCCCTCACTCAATTTTCTTTCTATAGTGCAAGGACTCACATTTGTGAGGTGTCCCATCTGTGTCTGCAGGAGTCACCCTGAAGTTGACAGGAATATGAGTCAAATGGCAGATTCGCTTTGCCCCTGCGTTTTCACAGAAGGTAAGGACTAGTCCAAACAAAATTGAACGGCGTGGGTTATCTATAATGCTGCTTACTGAGCTGTGTTCTGTGCCACTGCCTCTCTTCTGTGGGCTGACACTCCTTTCCCCAAAACACCAGACTCCCAGTGCCACCATCCCATCAGTCTTGCCATACTGTCATCTAGCTATCCAAAGTCCCCTGCTTTAAAATCCCATTAAGACCTGGCCTCCTCCACAGTAACCTTATGCTCCAAAATTGCCTTTCATTCTCCCTCTTCCTATTCTTATCATAATTACCACTTCCTTAATGATTCTGGCAAGTTGTTCAAAAAGGATATTTCTAGTTAACTCTGAAAGAAAACAATGGAAGCAATCTTTACAAAAAATTCCTTGTGTATTATGTAGCAAATGTGTTGTTTCCCTGATCCGCCATCTTCCTGGGAAGCCTTTGTGCCTTGCCGTATGTGTCAGTTTGCTTTGATTTTTTGCAAATATTAGAATCCAGTGCTGGTTTCAGGCTTGCAGGACGTTGTTAGGTGGTCAACAAAGGTATGAGATGCAGAGCCCCAAAGTGGAGGAATGTGTCTGAAGGCAGAAAACTCTGGAAGGATGACTTTGAAGTGAAAGAAACTGATTACTATTCACAAAGTCATTGAATTGGTTAAGACTCAGTGATCCATCCATGAGACACTTATTACATGCTTACTGTGTGCCAAACACTGGACTAGGTACAGGAAATTTAATGGAAAAAATGAATAAAGAATGGTATGAACCTTCAGGAAATCTATAATGCAGGTGGAGAGAGAACACATATGTTCGTTACAATTCTTTCAAATAGGTGTTTTGATGAGAGGGCAATTTGGGCAAAAGATGGGCTTAGAGATGGAACAATCTAAACTTGTACACTGCCTCTGCCACTTACTAGCTGTGAGGGCACTAGCAAGTCAGTTAACCTCCCTGGGTTTCAATTTTTTTATCTTAAAACTTCAGAAAATATATGTATACTTTGCAGGATTGTTTAGAGAAAGCACACATAAAGCACCTATCCTGGTTCTGGTATGCATGGAATAGGCAACTATTATCATGATTTTGTGTGTGTGTGTGAGGAGGATTGGCCCTGAGCTAACATCAGTGCCCATCTTCCTCTATTTTACGTGGGATGGCACCACAGCGTGGCTTGATGAGCGGTGTGAGA